GCTACCCGGACCAATTTGCACCAATATTGATAATTTTTTGTAAACAGGTTTTCTTCATCCAAAATGAAACATTAAAGCACTTCGGCTGAAACACTCCCTAAAATACCGAACTCCTCAAAGTACCGAATATTGTGGGTACCTCAAAGATTTAACCAATATTGACAATTTCAGTACGATTCATTCTACCAAATATATAACCAAACGTGCCCAAAATCCCCCACAGTATCGAAAAAGGTGGATTACTATTACATGGGGGATATTTGAAAGCTTGGGCGAACATAACATTGCAGCCAAATACCGAATATTAAGGGATGCCGTTAGATGGGGATATCCGAATACTTGAGTCAATATGGAAAATTCTAATTAGGGAGAATTTCTGCCCAATAAGTTTCCCTAATATTAGGTTTGGGAAAAAGAAATCCATTAGACCGGTGGAACGATCGAATTTTACAGGCATGTCGTAACATCGTCCAGAAGCTAAAAAATAAACCATTCACACAAAGCTGGATTCAAAAAGAAACTCAATGTTTGGGTGCCTCACCAATTAACAGAAAAAATGGAATGAACGGAATGAGATATTCTAATTTTTATAAACGGATGGTGACTGGAAATGAGAAATGGATCACATACGATAACCCTATGCAAAAACGATCGTGGTCAAAGAGCGGTGAAGCACCTCAAACGGTGACCAAACCAGGACTAACGACCAGGAAGGTTCGGCTATGCATTTGGTGGGACTGGAAGGGGATTATTTATTATGAGTTGCTTTCATATGGCCAAACGCTAAATTCTGATCTCTACTGCCAACAACTGTACCGTTTGAAGATAGCAATTGACCAGAATTGGCCAACAGGGGAGGTGTCGTGTTTCACCAGGACAACGCTTGGCCATCTTATGAGTAGTACAAATGTATGTGCAAATATAAAATTTATATCTTAAATCGTGGAGGGAGCAACAAAACTCACTCATAAACATCAAATTCAGTTTTGTAATGTTACCCTATGTGTGCTCTGATAAATACCAATATGTTACAAAAATATATAAAAATCACCTTATTATGGAGGGTATAAAAACAACCTAAAATGCCGAAAATTATACATCAACAATATTGTTAGGCAAGGCAACGTTTGCCGGGCCCGCTAGTAAATAATAATGATAAGTATTAATATTTAAATTAATTCATATATTTTTATTCGGCTATTACAATTAACAATGGCAAGCAAATTCATTTACTTAATAAGCGTAAGAGATAAGGGGAGAAGCGAAGCTAGTCTTCACAACAGCTGGTCCAGCAACAACGGGAGCAGCGACGGCAGACTTAACTACGGGAGCGGTGGCATAAGCAGCTGGAGCAGCATAACCGAAATGAGCTGGGACGGCAGCCTTAACTACGGCAGCAGCGGCGTAAGCAGCTGGGGCAGCATAACCGAAGGTAACTGGGGCAACAGTCTTGACTACTGGGGAGGCAGCATAAGCAGCTGGGGCAGCATAGGTGAAAGGAGCGGTAGCGTAGGCAGCCTTGACGACAGGGGCGGCAGCGGCATAGGTGAAGGGAGCAGCAACGGCAGCCTTAACAACTGGAGCGGGGGCAGCAACGACGGGAGCAGCTACGGCAGCCTTAACAACGGGAGCAGCGGCAACAGCAGCTACCAAAGGTTCACGACGGACAACAGCGTTAAAACCGTTGATGGGATCGGAGGTGTAGTCAACAATACGTCTGTAACCATCAGCATCATTCAAAGAGTATTGACCTTGAACGAAACCACCATCACGGGTTTCCACGGCGGTCTTGGAGTCACCAGAGATAGCATCCTTAACATCATAACCGTAAGAGTATTGGGGATGGGGATCGTATTCCTCGACCTTGGCAACAGCGGCCAATGGGGTAGCTGGGACAACAACGGCGCTGGCAACGGCTACGAGAGCAGCGAACAAAGTAACGAACTGTGAAAATAAAACAAATCGAAATATTCAATTAATTCCATTTGATCCAAGAAAATTATTGCTTGTTTTTTTGTATGTTGTGTTGTTTAATCCTTACTTTGAATGCCATTTTAAAAATGTTTAGATTGGGTTCTTTTGACCAAAGTTGGGATTGAAGTGTGTCGTCTGATCATTGTTCATTGATTTTTATACTGAATCAACTTAGTTACCAAGTGCAAGTGTGTAGAGTTAGGCGATGGTAAAATAAAAGTGTAACATTGAAGTCGTGCTAACGAACGTTATATGAATATTAACGTGACTGCGATATATGTTTCCCAAACATGAGTGGTAATAGAGGGCGTTGATTTTCTTGAAGAAATAGATGGCAGGAATTTTGGTGCATTTTATTTGGATTTTTTGGCTCGCATGCCTATTGGAATTTTTTTAATTTGAGTTAAATGTGGCACAATAACGAATCCTATTGCAATTTGTGAAAATAAGGATACCATATACAAATTCCTCCAATTTCTTGTAAATGGTGCACCAATTTCCCAAGGTTTGTCCGAATAGGAAATAGCATAACGAAGCGAAGAATAACATGTATGTGCTAAGGTTTCAATTTTCGGTAATTGGTGCATAAAAACATCTGCATTTGTTTGATAGTGCAGTGCTGCGAGGAACCGTATTCAGCGAAACATTGCCTAAATCAACCTGACCTAATTCAGTACGTTGTGCGAAATTGTGTCTGAATCGGACAAATATTCGAAAATATATATGAGAGCTACATCGAAATCTGAACCGATTTTCTCCATCTTCAATAGGTCTCGTCCTTGTATATATGTTGAATAAATTTGAATGTCTAAAGTTGGGATCAAAAAAAAAAAAAAAAACAGTAAGGAAAGTAGTAAAGTCGGACTGGGCCGACTATATGATACCCTTCACCATTTTGGGAATATTCAACAGATGGGCAGATAAAGAGTTGCTTCTTACAATGGGACAAAATTATGTAAATAAATTTAAAGTAAAATATCGAAATCTAAACCGATTTCGTCGAAACTTGTCACATGTTAGGTTACACTTATTTCAGTATGTTTTTTGCATACTGCCACATTTTCAACTCCTCATTTACTTATAAATCCAAATTTCGTGCAAATCGAAGGATACATATATATAAAATCGCTATATCTAAATCTGAACCGATTTTCACGAAATTTAACACACATCGTTCTAGAACTAATTTAGTACACAGGGCCAAATTTCGTGCAAATCGAAGGATATATAGGGACTTGGTGCACTATTTACATAAAATCGGACGAAAATATATATGGAAGCTATATATAAATCTGAACCGATTTTCACGAAACTTAACACACATAACTCCAGACTAAATTTAGTACGCTATGCCAAATTACGTGCAAATCGAAGGATATATTGGGACTTTGGTCTACTATATACCTAAAATCGGACGAAAATATATATGGGAACTATATCTAAATCTGAACCGATTTTCACGAAATTTAACACACATCGTTCTAGAATTAATTCAATACGCTGTGCCAAATTTAGAGCAAATCGAAGGATATAGAGCACAATTTACCTAAAATCAGACGAAAATATTTATTGGAGCTATATATAAATCTGAACCGATTTTCAGGAAATTTAACACACGTCGTTTTATTTTTAATTCTGAATGATATGCCAAATTTCGTGCAAATCGAAGGGTATATAGGGATTTTGGTGCACCATTTACCTTAAATCGGACGAAAATATATATGGGAGCTATATCTAAATCTGAACCAATTTTCACGAAACTTAACACACGTCGTTCTAGGCTTAATTCAGTACGCTGTTCCAAATTTCGTGCAAATCGAAAGATATTTAGGGACTTTGGTGCATCATTTACCTTAAATCGGACGAAAATATATATGGGATCTATATATAAATCTGAACCGATTTTTCCCAATTTCAATAGGGTTCGTCTTTTGGCTAAATAAGTAAACTGTGCCAAATTTCATTCAAATGGGATCACAAATGCGACCTGTACTTTGTTAACAAAAATACATGGACATGCATATTCTTAAAAGGAACCATGTGTCTAAGGAACCATGTGCCTGTTACAAACATATGCTCAAAGACATAATAACATGTACCACAGTGTGGCGAAGGGTATAAAAAACCTTTCCCAGGATATTATAAATTTATGTTTCAGGAAAATTGTTAACATTTGTAAGTGAGGTTCCAAAAAGAGCGATCTGCTATCCTTCATTTTCGAGCTTAACATAGGCCTGGAAGAAATATAACGATGTGCAAAGTTTGGATTAAATCGGTAATTCCATTCGAGAGCTATCATACGCGCCATCCAGCCAGACAGGTATTTGTCAACCGGACAAACATTTCTTTCACTAAGCTGCGTATATACAAATTGAGTTAATATGTAAAAACGTTTTATATTAGCTTTCTGACAATTAATATTTTATTTAAATTGAATTGGAATATTATTCACAAAAGATTTAAATATTTGTATATGAGACAAATTGGTTCATTTTCGTAAAGTAGGTATGTACTCAACATCTGTAAATACAGTTTTCAAAATAATTATTACAAGGACTCTCAGACTAATAGGCGTGAGTTATTGTTTTAAGAATACCTTTACAAGGTCTATCAGACGCTTAGTGTCTGATAGACCTTTGCGGACGGTAAATTCTGAGTAATACAGCACAATTTATTTGCCAGAAATCTTAGTAGAATTTCGAATAACGAATAGAAAAAGACAAATCATTTTGAACCATAACAACGCGAGTTCTCATACATCTGATCCATACTAAGCCAATATTTGAAATTAATGGATCATTAGCATTAGTATTGCTGTGACCTGGCACCCAGTGACTTATTTTCATTTCCGGACATAAAGGAAAAATGCGTGATCCACCATTTTCGATTAGTCAATAACATTTTGTGCATTTAACGAAGTCTATGACATATCATCAGTAAATAACCCAATTAATATTTACAATTAAATTAAATCAAATATCTTTATTCGGCTATAACAATTAACAATGGCAAGCAAATTCATTTACTTAATAAGCGTAAGAGATAAGGGGAGATGCGAAGCTAGTTTTGACGACAGCTGGACCAGCAACGGTAGTCTTAACTACGGGAGAGGCGGCATAAGCAGCTGGGGCAGCATAACCGAAGGTAGCTGGAGCAACAGTCTTGACTACAGGGGCGGCAGCATAAGGAGCTGGGGCAGCATATCCGAAATGAGCTGGAGCAACAGTATTGACTACAGGGGTGGCAGCATAAGCAGCTGGGGCAGCATAGGTGAAAGGAGCGGTAGCATAAGCAGCCTTGACAACAGGGGCGGCAGCAGCATAGGTGAAGGGAGCAGCAACGGCAGCCTTAACAACTGGAGCTGGGGCAGCAACGACGGGAGCAGCTACGGCAGCCTTGACAATGGGAGCAGCAGCTACCAAAGGTTCACGGCGGACAACAGCATTGAAACCATTGATGGGATCGGAGGTGTAGTCAACAATACGTCTGTAACCATCAGCATCATTCAAAGAGTATTGACCTTGAACGAAACCACCATCACGGGTTTCCACGGCGGTCTTGGAGTCACCAGAGATGGCATCTTTAACATCATAACCGTACGAATATTGGGGATGGGGATCGTATTCTTCGACCTTGGCAACGGCGGCTAATGGAGTGGCTGGGACAACACCGGCGCTGGCAACAGCTACGAGAGCAGCGAACAAAGTTACGAACTAGAAAAATACAACAAGTTAATTTTATTAATATCCATTATACAAAAAAGCACATTCTTGTATCCTTAATATGTTGTTTAATCCTTACTTTGAATGCCATATTAATAATGTTTGGGATTGTTTTGATATGATCCAAATACTAAAGGTAGATTTGAACTGTGTCGTTTGTCAAACGTTCATTGATTTTTATATTCAAACGTAAAACTTTAAGTGCGATTCCAAATCCATACTAATTACATGTTTGTGTATGTGTTAGTAGATTTGAACAAAATAAAAGTGTAACATTGACCTAGTGATCAAAATCACTAGTTGAATATTAATAGACGTGTATTTTAGTAGTAGCAGTTTTCAATACAAATAAACAGCACATGGAGGTTGTTGACCTTCTGTTGGAAAAATCGATAATGTTGACAAGTTTTTCCTTTGGAGGACAATTTATACATAGTCAGTAAAAAAACTTAATTTGAAATCAGTAAGGAAAATAGTAAAGTCGGACTGGGCCGACTATATGATACCCTCCACCACTTTAAATATATTCTACATATGTATCCTAACAGACGTCGCCTTTTCAAAGGAACATTAACATGAAATTGAACGAACTTAAATCTAAATCTAACTCGATTTTTTCGAAACTTAACACATGAGCTATGGTAGGGACAGATATGCATCTCAAAGACACAAAAGTCCCCATGAACATGCAGAAAACCAACAACAACACCAAGTGTAAATAAAAATACAGAATAAACCACAAAATTTCTGGAAATACACTTGTCGTGAGCGAACAAATATATAAAGGAGGTTGTTAGGAATACTTCAATGTGCAAAACATTCAATTATAGTAACTTCATTACATTGTACGGACGGCCAATTTACATTAAGGGGACCCCCCATTCTCGGGGTCAAAAAATTGTTTGATATAATTCGAATCTACACTAATTAAAGAATGCCCCTACAACATTTCAAGTGAAAATCTCAAGAACTCTTGAAGATATAGCCGCTTTATTGTGTCAGCATCAAGTGACGGCTGAAGGGCTTCTCAAACTTTAAACGTGTTTTTCTCTAAAAATATTTTTGCGAATGGCGGGCACGATAACTCAAAAACTAATAACCCAATCGATTCCAAATTTTTACACGTTCCTCTGAGAGTGTATAGCTATCGTATGAACTAGGATAAAGCCAATCGGTGAAAATATTCCTTATTTTTTAACTTGGTTTTTGGTAAAAAATCGTCGATTTTCCAAAAATATATTTTCAAAGGTCCACCATTTTGTTAATTTTAGAGCGAAGTCAATAATCCTAGTTCATACCAGAGCCAGACATGTACTCTTTCTAGCATAGTTGGAATTTTAGGAGTCCGATGTTCCAGTGAGGAGTTATCATGCCCGCCATCAAAAATAAGGACTTTTCTTTAATTACAAAAAACAACAACAAAACAATAACAAACATTTTTGTAAATAATTTTTCTTCTCTTTTAAATCTTCAATTATATATGTGCAAAGTTACAAACCTTACCAAGCTTTGGTATTGATTTACCAGCCAATTGAAAATCTTGAAAAATTAAAATCGAGAATGAAGGGGGGTTGGTTCCCTCAAATCGGACGAAAAAATATATGGGAGCTAAATCTAAATCGGAAGCGATTTTCACGAAACTTAGCACACATCATTCTGGACCTAATACAGTACCCTATGGCAAATTTCTTTCAAATCGAAAGATATAAAGGGACTTTGGAGCCCCATTTACCTTAAATCGAACGAAAATATATATGGGTGATATATATAAATCTGACCCGATTTTCGCGAAATTTGGTACACGTCATTCTAGACTCAATTGAGTACCCTATGCCAAACTTCGTGCAAATTGAAAGATATGTAGGGACTTTGGTGCCCCATTTACCTTAAATCGGACACATCGGAAACTATATACGGGAGCTGTATCTAAATCTGAACCGATTTTCATTAAATTCAGCACATATTATTGTAGACGCAATTCAGAACGCTATGCCAAATTTCGTGCAAATCGAAAGATATATAGGGTTTTTGGTGCACTAATTACCTTAAATCGGATGAAAATATATATGGGAACTACATCTAAATCTGAACCGATTTTCAGGAAAGTTTGCAAACATCATTCTAGACCTTATTCATTACGCTGTGCCAAATTTCGTGCAAAGCGAAAGTAATATAGGGACTTTGGTACATCATTTACCTTAAATCGGACGAAAATATATTTGGGAGCTACATCTAAATCTGAACCGATTTTCCCAATTTCAATAGTGTTCGTCCTTGGGCCAAACAAATGAGTTGTGCCAAATTTCATCCAATTCGGATCATAAATGCGACCTGTACATTGTTTACAATTTAACATGGACATACGGACGGACGGACATGCATAAATCGACTCAAAAAGAGATTCTATGCATATTCTCAAAAGGAACCATGGGTCTATCTCGATTATTTTTGACTGTTACAAACATATTCACAAATACATAATACCCAGTACCACAGTGTGGTGAAGGGTATAAAAATTCAGTATTTTTTATTGAAGAGTTGTGGCATAAAAACATTTTTCGGCCCATTTCATCCTCTATACAAGAAACAAACTAAAATAAAGTATTTTGTCCATGTCATCCCCTAAACATTAACAAATCATTACCAAAACTATAGGGTTCTTCATTGGCCAGAACCGGTACTGTATTTTGTTTACAAATTATAATGGACAGTCGGACAGACACACATGACTATATCGACTCAGCCAATCGAGATGTGATCGGTATGCTAAAAGAAAGGTCTAAGACGAATATTTCGTGGCGTTACAAACTTCAAGGGCCATAAAAAGCTATAATAACCTTACAACATAGTTGTAGGGTATATATATTCTGTTTCCAATTCTCAAAAAATCGGAATACCAAAATGAGTACTATGTCAAAACATGAACCAAAAAAAAAAAAAAAAAAATCTGCGGTATACGGGTTTTTGTTATATACAAAAACCCGTATACCGCCAGTTATGAAACCAATTGAAATTTAAAATTAAATTAAATCAATTATATTTATTCGGCAATAACAATTAACAATGGCAAGCAAATTAATTTAATTAATAAGCGTAAGAGATAAGGGGAGATGCGAAGCTAGTTTTGACGACAGCTGGACCGGCAACGGCAGCCTTAACTACGGGAGCGGCGGCATAAGCAGCTGGAGCAGCATAACCGAAGGTAGCTGGAGCAACAGCTTTGACGACAGGGGCGGCAGCATAAGCAGCAGGGGCAGCATAACCGAAGTGAGCTGGGGCAACAGTTTTGACTACAGGGGCGGCAGCATAGGTGAAAGGAGCGGTAGCATAGGCAGCCTTCACAACAGGGGCGGCAGCGGCATAGGTGAAGGGAGCAGCAACGGCAGCCTTAACAACGGGAGCTGGGGCAGCAACGACGGGAGCAGCTACGGCAGCCTTGACAACGGGAGCGGCAGCTACCAAAGGTTCACGGCGGACAACAGCATTGAAACCGTTGATGGGGTCAGAAGTGTAGTCAACAATGCGTCTGTAACCATCAGCATCATTCAAGGAGTATTGACCTTGTACGAAACCACCATCACGGGTTTCCACGGCGGTCTTGGAGTCACCAGAGATGGCGTCCTTAACATCATAACCGTATGAGTATTGGGGATGGGGGTCGTATTCCTCAAACTTAGCAACGGCGGCCAATGGAGTGGCTGGGACAACACCTGCGCTGGCAACAGCTACGAGAGCAGCGAACAAAGTGACGAACTAGAAAAAAATACAACAAATTATTTTTATTAATATCCATTATACGAAAGAGCACATTCGTGTATCCTTAATATGTAGTTTAATCCTTACTTTGAATGCCATGTTAATAATGTTTGGGGTTTGTTTTGATATGCTCCAAATACCAAAGGTGGATTTGAACTGTGTCGTTTGTTAAACATTCATTGATTTTTATATTCAAACGTGAAACTTTAAGCGCGATTCCAAATTTGAACAAAATAAAAGTGTAACATTGACCTAGTGATTAAAATCGCTACTTGAATATTAATAGGCGAGTATCTTAGTAGTATTAGTTTTCAATACAAATAAACAGCATATGGAGGTTTGACCTTCTGTTGGAAGAAACGATAATGTTGACAAGTTTTTTCTTTGGAGGAAAATCTACAGAGTCAGTAAAAAATCTCAATTTGAAAAAAATCAGTATTCTTTTTATTGTGGCATGATGTTTTTTCTTGATGATTAGTTTTCTTCGATGGTAGGTTTGTCGTGATTTTCGACAAATTTGGATACACATATTGCGGTAGCCCCAAACAAATTATTTCTAAGCGTATCTCAAATAAATAAAAACATAATGCAAAAAATTTCTAAAAATTGTCAGGTAGTAAGTTGTTTATGCTCTGAGAAAATTACAAATACTCAGATTAGTAAGTCAGGCTATCAAGAGGGAGCTTTGTATGGGCCCATTTATTAATCAGATGTGTTTTATTCACCAAGAACAAAGCATGCAAAATATTGTCATATTGTATAAAAATGGACTTATACGACAACTAGCGAACGGAGCAGAATAGTCGGACGGGGCTCATCATGATCAACATGATGATTCCCTACATAACTACCACAGAAGTCTAACTTTCTTCGGATCTATATTCCAAGCCTGGACAAGATTTTTTGGACCCCTAACTTGACCCACACCGGAACTTCAGGTAAAGTTCCATAGTGTGGTGATGTGTTACTAAATAATATCAGAATACGTAAACGCATGTAAATATTTAAGGGGACCTCCCCCATTCTCGGGGTCAATTTTTTTTTTGATATAATTCGAATCTACACTAATTAATGAATGTCCCTACAAAATTTCAAGTGAAAATCTCAAGAACTCTTGAAGATATAGCCGATTTATTGTGTCAGCATCAAGTGACGGCTGAAGGGCTTCTCAAACTTTAAACGCGTTTTTCTCTAAACATTTTTTTTTGCGAATGGCGGGCACGATAACTCAAAAACTAATAATTCAATCGGTTCCAAATTTTGCAACGTTTCTCTGGGAGCGTATAGCTCTCGTATGAACTAAGATAAAGCCAATCGGTGAAGATCATCCTTATTTTTAACTTGGTTTTTGGTAAAAAATCGGCGAATTCCAAAAAATATTTTTTCAAAGGTCCACCATTTTGTTAATTTTAGAGCGAAGTCAGTAATCCTAGTTCATACGAGAGCCAGACATGTACTCTTTCTAATACCGTTGGAATTTTCGGATTCCGATGTTCCAGTGAGGAGTTATCATGCCCGCCATCAAAAATAAGGATTTTGTGTTAATTACAAAAAACAACAACAAAACAATAACAAAATTTTTTTGTAAATAATTGTTCTTCTCTTTTAAATCTTCAATTATATATGTGCAAGTTTTGTTACAAACCTTAACAAGCATTGGTATTGATATATGCCCATTGAAAATCTTTAAAAATTAAAATTGTGAATGGGGGGGTTCCCTTAAATTTAAATCCAACATACGAGTAGATGCATCACTGTAATTAGTATCAATTTAAAGATCAACAACTCTTGATGGATACACTATCGACTTGTCGCTTCTATGTGCTTCAGTAGCAATGATATAGGCCATAGAAATAAAATTTTGCCATTTTTCACACAAAATTCTTAGTCCAATTGAACAGCTAAGTATTGACCGATTTTTATGAAATAAGCCATGCTTTTTTCTTGGTCCGATGCCTTTCATCGTGTAAATTTTTGTAGTGTTAGGGTCATAATTGTAGCCTCTAGAGCGACCACAAAGAATTGGATACATTTCATCCCTTAAACATTTACCGATCATTACCAAAACCTGCATGCAACATTTCGTAAGATTGGTCCACAACTGTGACCTGTAGCGTGTTTACAAATTATAATTGACCGTCGGACAGACACACAGAAAAAGCTCAGCCAATCGAGATAATATACGTTATGCTACATCAATATATGTAGAACATATGTGGCTGTGTTACAAACTTCTGGGGTCATACAAAGCTATTATAACCTTACAACATAGTTGTGTAGGGTATAAATATTGTGCGAATATGTTTCCAATTCTCCCAAAATGAGTGCTCAAAACATGAACCAATATTAAAAATGTTCTGCAAACATGTTTCCCTATATACAAAAACCCGCATACCACCGGTTAAGGAACCAATTAAAATCAATAAAATTAATTCATCACATATATTTATTCAGCAATAACAACTAACAATCACAGTCGATCCGTTTTTATCTAGTAAGCATAAGAGATAAGGGGAGATGCGAAGCTAGTTTTTACAACAGCTGGGCCAGCAACGATGGGAGCAGGGACGGCAGCCTTAACGACGGGAGCAGCGGCATAAGCAGCTGGGGCAGCATAACCGAAGTGGGCTGGGGCAACAGTCTTGACTACGGGAGCGGCGGCATAAGCAGCTGGGGCAGCATAGGTGAAAGGAGCGGTAGCGTAGGCAGCCTTGACGACAGGGGCGGCAGCGGCATAGGTGAAGGGAGCAGCAACGGCAGCCTTAACGACGGGAGCTGGGGCAGCAACGACGGGAGCAGCTACGGCAGCCTTAACAACGGGAGCAGCGGCAACAGCAGCTACCAAAGGTTCACGACGGACAACAGCGTTGAAACCGTTGATGGGATCGGAGGTGTAGTCAACAATACGTCTGTAACCATCAGCATCATTCAAAGAGTATTGACCTTGGACGAAACCACCATCACGGGTTTCCACGGCGGTCTTGGAGTCACCAGAGATGGCATCCTTGACATCATAACCGTATGAGTATTGGGGATGAGGATCGTATTCTTCGACAGCGGCCAATGGGGTGGCTGGGACAACACCGGCGCTGGCAACAGCTACGAGAGCAGCGAACAAAGTGACGAACTAGAAAAATATAACAAATTCTTTTATTAATATCCATTATCCAAGAGATTGTTGTTTTGTTGTATCCTTAATATGCTGCTTAATCCTTACTTTGAATGCCATTGTAATAATGTTTAGGGTTTGTTTTGATATGCTCGAAATACCAAAGTTGGTTTTGAACTGTGTCGTTTACCATCTTTGGTTTGTCTTTTATATGAAATTACACCAAAAGTTAACCAAAAACAAAAAAACACGACCAATTGTTTTAGCAGAAGTTACCAAAAACAAGTCAGTATCCAATAACTGTCACATTTTGGTGTAAAATTGAGAAAACGCTACCGAATTAAACGTTAATTGAATTTTAACACATTGGCGTTGTTACCATTTATCGAACGGTATTAAATGACTAATCAGTTGATGAGTATTGTGGGTGTATGTCCACTACGAGTATTTCTTTTTCACAATGTATGAGGAAATAATAAATTAATTTGCATTATTTATTCATATAGCCACGCGAATTGTTGATATACACTCAGATATATGTGAAGTAAATATATTTTAATAAAGATGGGACATTAACGTTTAAAAAATTATTAAAAAATATTCCGTAAAAATTCCTTAGTAATATAGTTGTGTTTTTTATTTATATTTCGGTACGTAATATATTTAAAAATGAGACTGGTAGCAGCGTAAAATTGTAAAATTTGCTCAATTTTAAAAATTGCGATTTCTATGTTGGCTCAGTGTACAGAACAACATGACTACATGAGTCTAATTTTCTGGGGCTAGGAAAAATGTTTTTCGTGTGCCTTGAAAACGACTTAAAATGGTCGAGAGATTTAAATAACTATTTTTCGAAACATGCCCATCCACCTAATATCTATTGTAAAAAAAATAGTACCTTATAGTATGTTCTTTATACACTCCCTTAATAACATGGTTTTCCATGGTAACCGATTTCACCCAAACTTTTTACATCGTAATATTTCTTTCAAACTTAGTTCAAGTTCGAGGACGGGAAATATCGGTCGACTCCTTCTTGTACATTCCCCACAAAAGTATCCAAATTAGGCAAACAATTAATTAAAAATAATTAATATGAGTTCGGACTATCCGTTTTGAACCAAGTTTTGTACAACCTATTACTTTTACCAAGATCCAGTCCGAAGATGGAATGTAATATCAGGCAAATTCAATGTCAGATTTAAACTAACTGTGGATAATCTATTATCTTTACCAAACCTAGATGAAGTCCGAAGATAGGAGCCATTGATCCACTCCTTCTGGAACCTCCCTCATAAAGGCCCAAAATTTCAATGTTTAAAAATCCAATTTCAGGCAATCTATTACCTTTAGAACCTATTATCCTTACCAAGCCTAGATCAAGTCCGAAGATGGTTCTCAGTGACCCACTCCTTCCGGTACCTCCAAAATGATCAACATTGTATAAACTTATACATTTAATTTAAAGCGAATTGAATATAATATATAATAATAAAATCGGTGTGTGATTCATAATAAAATTATAGACCAATAGAAGATATTTGACAGTGAACAGAACACAAAACTTGTGTGAGCTCTTTTAACGAGTGTTGCCAAAGTGATAATAGTTATAATATCACCCTTTAATACTCTTCGTGAACATCAGTACTAGTATCATTACATTAAAAACCAGTAAGAAAGTAGTAAGGTCGGCGGGCCGACTACATGATACCCTTCACCACATTGGGTATGTTCAACAGATGTATTCTAACAGACGTCGCATTCTGCAACCTATATTAAATTTTTCACTGGTCAGATATAGAGTTGCTTCTAACAATGGGAAAAAACTATGCAAATCAATTAAGCAATAAAGTAAATATAATTGGACACCCGTTGATTATTTGGATAAATATCTGATAAACATGAGGAGTTTGGTGCAATATTTAATTAAATTGGATGATAATATATTTCAAATATATATGGAGATCTAAACCGATTTCATCGAAACTTGTCACAGGTAGGTTATATTAATTTCAGTGCATTTGAGCTACATTTTGAGTTCTTGGTGCATCATTACGCTATGGCAAATTTCGTGCAAATCGGAAGATATATAGAGATTTTGGTGCACCGTTTACATAAAATCGGACGAAAATATATATGGGAGCTATATTTAAATCTGAACCGATTTTCAGGAAACCTAACACACATTATCCTAGACTTAATTCAGCACGCTATGCTAAATTTCGTGCAAATCGAAGGAAATTTAGGGGCTTTCTTACACTATTTACATAAAATCGGACGAAAATATACATGGGAGCTATATCTAAATCTGAACATATTTTCACGAAGCTAAGCACACTTCATTCTAGTCTTAATTCAGTACGCTTTGCCAACTTTCGTGCAAATATATAGGGACTTTGGTGAACCATTTACATAAAATCGGTTGAAATCTGATCCGATTTTTACGAAACTTAACACACATCATTCTAGTCTTATTTCAGTACGCTCCATTACGCTGAGCCAAATTTCGTGCAATTCGAATGATACATATGGACTATGGTACACCATTTCATTAAATCGGACGAAAATATATATGGGAGCTATATCTAAATCTGAACCGATTTTTCCCAATTTCAATAGGGTTCGTCCTTGGGCCAAATAAGTGACCTATGCCAATTTTCATCCAATTCGGATCATAAATGTACCACAGTGTGGTGAATAAATAGATGTAAATTGCCCCCGAATAAAGGTTCTCCATCCTTTGCAATATTTTCAATGTTTTATCAAAATTTTCCCACTGGAACGGCTGGAATTATATGGGTTCTTAAATTACAAAAGATGTCATTGCCAAAAGTGTTCAATATCTGGCAATATTTTGAAATAGCCCCACATAAAGGTCTTAGTCCCATTTTCACATCTTTTCAGAAATTTCTCGATAAAGAAACCATTTTTAGTTTTTTGCATATTTAATGCCATAAGTTACTTTATTTTTGCCTTAGAATGGGTTCTGGTTAATATTTAGGGGATGAAATGGACCAAAAACTTTATTTTTGTCGGTTTTTCTGGTCGCTCCAGAGTTCGCAATTATGCCCCAAACACCAAACACGAATTTTTGCACGGAGAAGGGGATCGGGCCAAAGAATAAGTATGCTTGTTTTGATAAACATCGGTCAATATTTAACGGGTGAAATGGACCCTGACTTTTGTGTGAAAAATTACAAATTTTGTATTCTATGGGGTATATATTTCTCCTGAAGGACATATACTCAAGAAGTTGATAGTATATCCAAGAGGAGTGGTTCACCTTTAAATTGATACCAATTATATGGTCGTACGTACTCGGATATGGGAGTTACACGTAAATATTTTAAGGAGCTTACGTATTCATAAATTATTAAGTAACATATTGCCACAATAGAGGAGGGAAATATAGCGCTCAGCGCTTTGAAATTTTCCTTGAGGATCCAGGTATGGTCAAGGACAACGCCTATAATTTCTGTGATGATCAGATTAACATTTTGGGATGAAGTGGACCCAAAACAAATTTTTTTGTAATTTTTCGAGTCGATCTATAGGCTACAAAACCGAAAATCACAACACACGGTGAAGTGAATCTGGACAAGTAATTAGAAGGGCTGTACAGAATATTGGCATATTCGGAAAATATGTCAATGTAAGGAAGAGGTGCTGTTGGCCGATTAGAGGCCAAGAGGTAAAATATCACGAAATATTGGTCAGGCTAGAAAGAAACATAAGCAAAAGTTAAAGTTCTGTGGTAGTTGTGTAGGGTATCATATGGTCGGCCCCGTCCGACTATACTGCTCCGCTCACTGGTTTCAATATAGATTCGTGTTTTAGAATATTTCTAAAATAATTATTTACATTGGTTTGCACTCTAATATTGAGGCATACAACAATCATAGGTCATAATCCCCGTTTTAATTTACCTTTGACCTTAGTATTTTCCGCTATTGGCAATACAATAATCTGCTAATAATATCGAATTCCATTAACAATTGAAATTCCACAAATCACTTGCCATAATATTTCTTATATCTTAATCTGTTGGCTAACGCCCATCAAAGATCGATGATAAATCAATCATGGGCATAACTACACAACGCACAAACAATTTGGAAAAAATCAAAAAGCAAAAAAAAAAAAAAACTAATGAATGAATAGTTACAACAGAAATTGATAAAAAAAAAAAATCAAATAAATGGAAAACGCAGACAATTTAACAGGTGATTGACTGATTGAGCAGCCAACAAATAATCTCTGTCATCTTATGAAAACGACAGTAAAGGGCAAAACGATAAACGTATTATGATGGCAGAATAAGAAACTAAAGAATGTTGTATTGTTTGTCGGTGTATCACACATCTAATTGTCGGCTTAGTTGACGTCAATAGTGAACAAGATATTTGTTTTAAATGTCCAATAACCTTTGGCCGCAACACAACAAAAGTAAATACTTCCTTAATTCTTTTAACCTTAAAAAACATAAACAACAAAATCATAAAAATGTAATAATTGTAAATGACTTGGTGGTAATTCTTGTTTTTATTTTCTTTTTTAATTTTGGGATTTTTCCCCAACGCGGGCATTTCCGAAATGGCTTAGTAAAAGAATTCATGAATTAAAAACTATTACAAGCAGATAATACAAAAAACAAAAGTTTCATTAATACTTTGGCGGTTTTACGCTTAAGTGTTGTGAAGGTCAGGAACAATAACTACCATCAGTGGTGGGCAAACTAGGGTGCATTTGGGTAGAATTAATGTAATAAATTATTTGAAAAAAGAAATACTGGAGATAAACAATTCGTTTTATTAATTTCTCTTTCGAGATGAGCTACATGATCGAAATTGCAATGAAAAGGAAACATCTTATTGAAGAATAATTTCCATTACTACCTACATCATGCAATCCAATGGAAATCTTATTACTCAATTTCAGAATTCCAGCTCTATCGGTTCACTTTTAATCCAAATTGTACCAAATTTAGTGATATTTAGTACACATAGTAGACATTGTCAAAATGTCATACATACCCCAATCCGAAACCCCAACAGTAATCCTTACCACCATTTGGTACCATTTAGTGCGCATTAATACGAATGATTTTAACTCCAAATTCAGGATCTCAGCTCTATTAG